TACAGGAGTTATCCGTCAGTACGAATGATAACACAAATATGAAATATTCATTTAAAAACTTTAATTTACTATCTTACCACTGCTAACAAGGTCAACACGGAGTGGTGGCATAACCTGGGAACTCAGGTTTCCTGAACTTGTGTCAGCGTCAAAATTCCCCTCTACGTCCGTATCTGAGGTGTCACCCGGCAGAATAACACTCTCGGGTTCACCGTCGTCTTCATTGTCCATATCCTCCTCATGCTCATCCTCATCCTCGTCTATTTTCCTCAGTGTTATCTGACTTAAGACAGGTGCAGTTGCAGATAAACCAACAACTCTGTCTTCTTGACTTTGACTTCTTTCATGCATAGGTGCAGATGAAGATTGACCACAGTCTATTTCAACATATATATCAATAAAGTTTTGAAATTTTCGGTCCACAATTGCATCTATGACACATTCTACATCTTCATCGTCACATATATCATTACCAATGTAGAATATAGCATCCTTACCAACTGTAGACTCTACCCTGGCGATCATCCGTTGAACGCACTGGCTGCCTTGTAGCCCCAATTTTTGGTGAATCCTCCCTTTCAGCTCATTGTACGTAGTGCCCCGTTTGATTTTCAACATTTTCTTTTTTCCTTCAAATTGAAAACCGTTGGGGCCTTCATAATGCTTTCCATCATAATAGATCATTGTAATATACATGTTTGAGTTTGAGCTCATCTTTCACACGAATTTGAGGGTAGGAATCAGATTTTAGGGTTTTAGGTTCAGATTTGGGGGAAACAAATGAGAAAATAAGGGGAATGACAATGATTTCACAATTACTATGATTTAGAGATGGTGGGATGAAATGGAATCGTTATTGGAAGGATCACAACTGACAAACAAGAGATAGAGGGGGTAAAATATTGCAAATGAGACCGAGAGAGGGCTGGATATAGGGTTTTCTGCGACTTTTAATCGACGAAATAATGTCCTTAGTCGATTAAAAGTGCTTGAAATGTAGTTGATCAAGGTGAGGATGTAGTTGACTAAATCTCGTGATTCATGTTTTCTGCATTTTGACCATTTAGTCGATTAAAAGTGCAAGTTGATCGACTAAATGGGGCAAGATGGTGGATAGTTCTGGAGGAGGGGCAAATTGGTTATTAATTAATTAATGAGGGGCAAAAGGGTCAAAAAGCCGCTCTATGTGAGTCCAATATATTTTTATGTGTGTATAGGAGATATTTTTATCTGTAATAATATAAGAAATATCAAACCTAAAAATAAATGTTACTTATATGTGATGAAAATTATTCTTTTAAATTTTCATACATTTTTTTATGGGTTTTATAATTTTCATTTAACATGAGAATTGAAATCTTCCTATACACTTTTTGATTTTTTTGTTGACATGGATCCTACATATAATTTTTTTTAGCATATGGGTCGTACATATATTTTGTCTCTATAACATAAGATTTTAATTCTCATATATAACTTGAGAAGAGGGAGGATATTTTGACTACCAAACATTTCTACTACCACCTTACTACCTATCTAATCACCATTGGATTAACATTTTCTCTCTCTTCAAAAACTTTTTAACATTCTCTCTCTTTGATCCAATGGTGATTTGATAGGTAGTAAGGTGGTAGTGGATACTTTTGGTAGTCAAAATATCTCCCCTCACTTGAGAATTATAAAACTTTTTTTCTATTCCGTGAACTTAGTTTGAAAAACCGAAAAAAAAAAAAAAGAAGTTTCGTTATTTTGACAAATCACATAATTTCCTTTGTACCTTTCTAGTTTCTACCTCTCGGATCTATCCCTACCCTACACCAACACCTAGGCCAAGAATGATAGCTGGCCAAATATTGGTGTATCTTTCTATTTGCGCAAGAATCAAGTGTTGATGGGTACCCAAAACATTTTTTTATTAGCGAAAAATTAATCTTATATTACATGTGACAAATCTTTCTTCTACACACTCTTCGATAATTGTGCTATCTTTTTCTTTTCTTTTCTTTTTATTTTTTAGGTGGTGGAGCCCACAAATTTATCTCTATGACACGAGATAACTTATCTCTGTTAACATGAGATTAATAAAACCCTTTTTATTATTGTATGTTACGTATGGCTCCATCCAATGATTATAAGCATGTGTTTTATTATATTGAATACAGAATACTTTGAATTTTTATGCCGTTAGGTTTGACTACAAAATTTGTGATATAAGTAAATAGAATGGATTGATGTTTCTTATATTGGAGATAATTTTATTTTTTATATTTATATATAAATATATGAGATTCATATTTTTTTTCTCTTTCCTCTTGATCTTGATATGACCTCTTATGGATTTTATATATTTTTAAGTGTGTAGAAGATAATTTTATTTCCTACAACATAAACAAAATTGATTCCGAATAGAACAATGCACAATTTATCATAATAATTTTTGTACTTTGTACATTATTTTACCTGTAATAAAATTGAAATAATGAAGAAATAGAAATTATGATTTTTTATAACTTAATTTTTTGAGTAACAAAACTTATGTTACTTATGTATTATTGAGCTTTTTTATTTATTTAAACTGAACAATTAAAGAAAGAAAATTTATCAATAACCATCGATTAAAATGGTAAAATTTTTGTTTTCTTTGATCGGAATTTTCTAGTTGGAACGAAAAGGAGAACTACCAGGAGACGTTTGGTACGGGAGAAATTTTTATTTGTCCGGGAATCTCGATTTTCAAAAATATGATTTTTGCATTCAGTTTACGATAATATCTGAAAATTTAAAATTTAAAAAAATTCAGTTTCCCGAGAATCCCTCAAAATTCCGCGTACCAAACACCCCCTTAGGTAGTGTTTGATTCCTAAGAAATTTTTTTAAAGTGGGTAAATGTAATTACAAGGAAAGACGTTTGAAAGTTAGTTTGGTAGGAAAGTTTAAAAAAGGTTGTTTGATAGCGCAAAATATTACTAGAAAAATTGGGTTAAATATCATGATGTGTGTTTGGTTGAAAATAAATTTTTGATGGGAAAAATAATAAAAATTACGAAATTAACCTTTTTATAAAATTATGATTTTTCAACATGTATTATCGATTCTTTTTCTTGGACTTGTGGAGGGAAGTCTCCATTAAATTGTCATATCTTCAAGCGGCTAGCAATACCACCTTTTTTGACTTATCCGCTTTTTTGACAGAACGAGGGGTTTTTTCTCTCTTTTGTCCCTCATTAATTATTTAATAATTATTTTGCCCCTTATTGCAAACTATGTCTCAATCTGTCCCTCTTTATCGATTAAATTGAATATTTAATCGATTAAATGGTCAAATGAAGATTTAATCGATTAAATCTTCAACTTAATCGATTAAATCTTCCTCTTTATCATAAGAACAACCTTATGCATGAGAGATTTAATCGACTAAATCTTCAAGTCAACGATTTTTGCCTATTTTGACCATTTAATCGATTAAATTTTTGGCTTAATCGATTAAATATGGACAGATTGATAGATATTTCTGAATAAGGGGCAAAATAGTTATTAAATAATTAATGAGGGCAAAACGGTGAAAAAGCCCAGAAGGAGGGGTAAAGTTGTCATGGTTTTCATCCCTTTTTTTTCACTTATATGCTTTTCACTGCAATACCACCTTCTTAGACGGCTTCCTAAACAGTGTTTTAACCAATTTTTTACTTGTTTTCCTCGATTGCTAGCGAAGTCAATTGACGGGCAAAACTACCAAAATGCTTCTACCAAACGTGGGTTCATCACAATCCCACATGTACTTCGCTAGAAAAATATTCACTTCTCCCGAACTAAACACTACCTTATATATGTCCCACAGTAATCAAATTAAATTAATCGGGTTCCAATGAAATGTGAAGAAATTAAAAAAAAGAAAAATTTCTTTTTATTGTTGTATTGCTTTTATAAAAAACAAAAGCATTTGAAAATTAGTAAAAAACATTCTAAACTAATAATTATTAATTCAAGTTGATAAACTTGTTCCTCTTAATTAAAAGGAACTGAGAAAATTATAATGAGAGGTAACTTTTTATATATTAGAATTAGTCAAATAATTAATAAACCGGTTGAAAAAATATCTTAATTAACTTTATTTTATCTATCTTATAATTAAAAGGGAAAATTCTGTAATTTTTTTTTAAAAATAAAACGACAACATTTTATAACGAGAGAAACTTCTATGGTCAGAAAGAGTTAAAAGTTATTGATAAAAAAGTTTTAATTTAAATATTAAATAAAGTATTATAATTTAATTTAGAGTAAATACCTTTTTGATCCTCAGCAAATTTCACGATATCCGTTTTAGTCCCTAGCAAATAAAAAGGGTCATCGTGGTTCCTAAAAAATTCAAAATGGATCCATTTTAGTTCTTTTGAGGACTAATATAGGTCTTTTTGAATTTGTGAGGGATCACGATAGGCCTTTTTATTTGCTAGGGACTAAAGCGGGCATCGTAAAATTTGCTGAGGAACAAAAATACTATTTACTCATTAATTTAAAATAACACAATATTTTTATTCTTTAAAAAATTAAAAAAAAATTTAATTAAAAAAATTATTACTTCTCGTGTAAAGTGTGATAAAGAAAAAGAAAAGAAAAATCACATCATTTTCATTTCAGTTGAGATTTTTTTCAAAAGCTTGCATTCCTTCTTCTACTTTTATTTTCCCTCACAGTTGCAGAACGCAGATCTAGCATTTCTTTCCACTACTTGAATCAGTTCACATTTTCCTTTCACATTACTTCCACACTCAATCACTACTCACCCCCCACACCAAGCAACCTTAACCCTTGACCTTACCCTTCTCTCTCTCTCTAGAACTGCAAACTCTACTAAGCACCATTCCATTGCATTCACAAACTCACACAAAAACTTTGGGTCTCCATTCTCCAAACACACAATGAAGCACCCTAAACCCCATAACCAAATACCACCATCACAACCACAATCACAACCCTCATCAACAAGATCTTCTTCACTCTCTTCCCACCTTGCTATGGTGGAGCTCAAACAGAGGATCCTAACCTCACTCTCTAAACTATCCGACAGAGACACTCACCAGATCGCCGTTGAAGACCTCGAAAAAACCATCCAAACCCTATCACCGGACGCTATCCCCATGATCCTCAACTGCCTCTACGACGCCGCCACCGACCCCAAACCCGCCGTTAAAAAAGAATCCCTCCGCCTCCTCACGGTGGTCTGCGCCGCCCACCCCGACTCCGCCTCCGCCCATTTGACCAAAATCATCGCCCACGTCGTCCGCAGACTCAAGGACCCCGATTCCTCCGCCCGGGATGCGTGCCGCGACGCGGTCGGGGCGCTTGCGGCGCAGTACCTGAGAGGAGAAGGTGGTAATGGTGGCGGTGGTGGTGGTGATGGTAATAATGGGGGTCTTGGTTCTGTGGTGGCTTTGTTTGTGAAGCCTTTGTTTGAGGCAATGGGGGAGCAGAACAAGGCTGTGCAGACTGGTGCTGCAATTTGCATGGCCAAGATGGTTGATTGCGCAGCCAACAAGCCCGTGCCGGCGTTCCAGAAGCTCTGCCCCAGGATCTGCAAGCTTCTCAACAATCCCAATTTCTTGGCTAAGGCTGCGATTTTGCCTGTTGTTGCTGGTTTGTCCCAGGTTTGCATTCTGCTGCTGAATGTTGTTCTGGATTTGTGTGTTGGATGCAATGAAATGAACTCAAGTGTTGTTGATGAATTGATGTGAAGTTTGTATTGAATCTGGAAATTCAGATAAAGACCAAATATTGTGTTTGGATTGATGGATGAAAATGCAGCATTTATTTATTTTAGTTGATTCATTAAAAATATAAAAAACACTGAAATTTACTTAGACCTGTTGATATTAGAATAATGACATTTGGAAAATTGAATTTAACATGGCCTTATATAATGAGAATGATGATGGAAAATGGTTTTGGCAGGCAATTGCGGTGCAAGATTTGGCATAGTTTTTATCAGATTTTTTTTTTTTTTTTTTTTTTTTTTTTTCCTTTGGTGGTAGTGACTAGAGAGATCCATATTATTTTATTTTGATTTTTGTCAATCACTTTGGACAAAATTGTTTTTAAAAGAATTTGTAGTCTCTCCTTAGGAACAAAAAAAAAAAACCCTCCAATTATTGTGTTTGTCCAATTTGGAAGGCCGCTGGTAGTTACTGTCGTTATATGTGACTAATTACCATTTTATGAAATAAAATACCTATCGAAAAGAACTAGTAAGAACATTCCTAAGATGTAATTGTGTATTGATTGCAGGTTGGAGCGATTGCACCACAAAGCTTGGAACATTTGCTACCTAGCATTCATGACTGCCTTGCTAGTACTGATTGGGCAACGCGTAAAGCAGCAGCTGAGGCATTAAGTTCCTTGGCTTTGCATTCAAGCAGTTTGATTACTGATAGAACAGCACCCACACTGGCAGTGCTTGAGGCTTGCCGGTTTGACAAGGTAGCATTTGCAATGAGGTTTTCCTTATCATAACTTGTTGAACTTGGTTCTTGCCATGCCATTTTTATTTCTTGATTTTCTCTTTTTGAATGCCACAAGGTCTTACTATTTCTTAAAATTCTAATTTTAATAAATTTTTCTGTTTCTAAAGGGAATTAGCTCAAAAAGGAGTAAGGACATTAAGTCCTCAAAACATTAAAGGAGGTAGCTCCATAAAACAAGTTTTTTTCTTTGACTTTGTTTCTCCCATTCTAGTGTACCTCATTTAAAGAGCACTAGAAGAATTATGTGCCCACAGAAAGTTGATAGTACATTTCTTGTGACTAGTCTGGCAGGTGTCTGTGACAATAGTATCCTACTATCTCTTTAAGTCAGGGCTGTGGGTTCTTTTTCCTAGAATTGTAGATCTGTAATTTGTTGAAAATTCATTACCAGAGAACTGATTTTTTGCTTTTAAGTCATCTAGTTTTTTTAAAAATAATGTGTTATTGTTTACAGATAAAACCTGTGAGAGATAGCATGACAGAGGCATTGCAATTGTGGAAAAAGATTGCAGGAAAAGGAGATGGATCTCCTGATGATTCCAAGCCCTTGTCTTGTGGTATGAATATTTGATTTGTCTGTCATATCCTATTCATCAACCACTTTGTCCTCGTTTATCTCAGTGATAATTGTGTTTTTTTATGCTTTAGATGGTGAGAATCCTGAACCAGCTATTTTGTCTGAAACAAATGACCTGAAAAAAGTAAATTCTGTTGAGAGGAAGACTGATACATCAGCAAAGGATTCATCAACTAGTTCTTCAAACTTGGATTCAACTGGTAAGGCCAAAGCAGCTGGCGTCTCAGAGAAGGCTGTTGTAATATTAAAAAAGAAAGCACCTACCTTATCTGATAAAGAAATAAACCCAGAATTTTTCCAAAAACTCGAAAGAAGGGGTTCAGATGATTTACCGGTGGAAGTAGTTGTTCCTCGCAGATGCATCAATTCTTCAAGCTCAAACAATGAGGAAGAATCAGAGACAAGTGCTAAAGATTCAAAAGAAAGAAAAAATTCGGTTGGAAACATACCTAATGATGACTTTCATGGATCTGCCACTAATAAATATCGTATCTTAGAGAGAAGCTATGATGGAAATTCCAAACAAAGGAATTATGATGATTTTTCCCATGACAGATACTCTGAAAAGAGAGTGAATGCAAAAGAACTGAGGACAAAAGCATATGACACTGATGATACCACTGAAATTGACCAAAGAGAGGGTTCTGCCAATCTTGCAGGTTTTTCAAAATCTGATGGTCAATCCGAAGTACCCTTCTCCAATAACAGAGGAAACTGGTTGGCCATCCAGAGGCAGTTAATGCAGCTGGAAAGACAACAGGTTCATCTGATGAACATGCTGCAGGTATGGTCGATATTGCCCAAAAAATTGGTTCTGGTATAAGTTCTTCATAACTGATAGATGTTTTAACAATTTTGCAGGAATTCATGGGTGGATCTCATGATAGCATGGTGACTCTAGAGAACAGAGTACGAGGTCTTGAGAGAATTGTTGAAGACATGTCACGAGATTTATCGATATCATCAGGTCGTAGAGGTAGTAACTTTACAGGGTATGAAGGATCATCTAGTAGGCCTTCTAGCAAATATAATGGTTTTAATGACTGCTCCATTGCCAAGTATGGAAGAGGTGGTGATGGACGTATACCATTTGGTGAAAGATTTGCCCAATCTGATGGAAATTCTTTAGGAATGAGGGGAAGAGGGCCATCTTGGAGATCGGACATGTCTGAGGGATGGGATTTTCCTGGGTATGGTACTTCTAGAAATGGCCAGATTTCCTCAAGGAGGACTTTTGGTGGTAGTTTTGTTGATGGAAGATCACCAAAATCAGCACACGAGAGTGATCAAGCGGGCAGCAGGAGAGCTTGGGATAAAGCAGCATTGCCCATCCAGCTTGGTGAGGGCCCCTCTGCAAGAAGTGTCTGGCAAGCTTCTAAGGATGAAGCTACATTGGAAGCAATTCGGGTTGCTGGTGAGGACAATGGAACATCTCGAGCAACAAGAGTAGCAATCCCCGAAATGACTGCAGAAGCTCTGGCTGATGACAATGTTGGACAAGAGAGGGATGCCATCTGGACTTCTTGGAGTAATGCGATGGATGCCCTTCAAGTAGGTGATGTAGAATCAGCCTTTGCCGAAGTATTGTCCACTGCAGATGATCTTTTGCTCGTAAAACTAATGGATAGAACAGGCCCTGTAATTGACCAACTTTCAAGTGAGATCGCATGTGAGATGTTGCATGCCATTGGCCAATTCTTACTGGAGCAGAATCTGTATGACATCTGTTTTTCTTGGATTCAACAGGTATGGCTTTCCTTCTGTTTAAACTTCTTTTCTTTAAGTCAGATTATGTAGATTCTCCTGTGTGTAATTATTTTAGAAACTAGACATTCGTTTGTCTCAAGATTTGGTGTTTGAAGTACTACATGATCATATCTCCCGAGGATTTTAAGTACAGATCTCAAGTTGTGGCATCTATTAATGTTTCCTTGATTCATGATAAGTTGGAGGACTTGCATACATTGTGTTTCTTCTTTGTAATTATCCGCTAGACAATTTACTTTGTCCAGCTCACTTTAGAGACAAGCTCATTTTAGAGGAGCTTTTTCCTTCTTTCTAATATCATGACAAAAGAGAACAGCCTGGATTAGTTTAAAACCCTGTTATTTGGAATCGTGTCTCTTGTTATTGACAGAATCTTACCTTTTATCTTCAAGATGTATTTGACTAATCTGGTTCAGAAAATTATTGGTTACATAACTCATCTTCAAGAATACATTCATTCCTTGGACTTATAATTCTATACCGGCACCAAAACAAATGATTTGTTTAGGAATTGGGGTATACTCTGCTTGTATATACAATGCTGCCTTTGCTTTGCTTTTTTTGCCCGACTTATGTCTTTCACCTGAGGCTTAAAATATTGAATTCATGTTCACAATGTTCAGTTGGTGGAAATAGTATTGGAAAATGGCCCCGATACCTTTGGCATTCCCATGGAAGTGAAGAAAGAGCTCTTGCTGAATTTACATGAAGCTTCAACAGATACAGCTGAGGATTGGGAAGGCGTACCACCAGATCAACTTTTATTGCAGTTGGCATCAGCCTGGGAAATTGATCTACAACAGCATGACAAATAGGTAATATGAGAGCAGACTTTGCTGGTACTTAGATTCTGTCATATGTGTAAGTTTTTTGAGTTTGGGGGTGATATCCTTGATATTTCTAATTTTCTATTTGGATGGTATTGGATGTAAGATTTGAAATATATATGCTGTTCAGGTTTTGGGCCTCCACATAAAAATTACAATGGCTGATCCTATACCGGTCAGAGCAATGTTTGATGGCCGTTGGATATCATCTTTACAAAGTGGTGGTGTTTGGATGTTAGATAGTGCCCAACTAAGGCTTCTTAAAAACATTGTATAAATTGAGATGATTGAACAAATCTTCCATGTAATTAGTATATGTAATTTTGTTTTTGATTCGATACATTCGTTTGAACCATTTGCACTCATTAAGTTTTATAAGGTAAAAGATGATCATGCTTGATAGGATATCAGAGATGAAAACATTGTTTCATTGATATTTGCAATCACACCTCTGTTACTGATGTTTATTCCTATTTGGAAACCCATATTTGGAAAACACAATCTAGCAAGAATGGCGTGACAAACCCTCGACATGATGAAGGCTGAAGGACTGTAGGTAGATTCTTTTTCTATGGATTTTTTTCCTATCGAGATGTATGGATCCATGGGTCTATGTCACCAATCCCTAAAACGGATTATGTAATATATTTTATCCGCTAAGTTATGGGTAGGTGGGCATTTTACCACAAACCGAGGACAAGGCTCATGGTTTTCTCTTTGTAATTTTGTTCGACTCTATATTTAGTTGATAGATCCTTTAACATGAAACAACCTTGCGCATAACCTTTACAATTATTGAAATGTTTTGTACAAATGATATAATTTTATTATGATACAAGATTTACTGACGCAAAATAAAAGGAAAAAAAATTACGAGATAGTAAAAAGAAAAGAGATATGGTTAAGAATTTAGGGGTGGAATGATAAACTTCACAAATATCACCATTGGTATTAGTTTAAATTGGTTTGGTTTTTAAAATTGAAATTAAAAATCAAACGATCCGATCAATTCTTAGAAAATAATAAATACCATTAATATAATCAGTTTTATTATCATTACTAGTTATAATATAGCCCATTAGCATTAACATTGTCAATTATAAAATGACCTTAATATCAATGGGCTGCAGTACCCGTCTAATGAAACACGATTTTTTAAAACCATAACATAATTCTTGAAAATCCTAGTGCAAAATTTAACCTAAACAGCTATTACTGCATTGTTGTACATGAAATACCATCGTGAACATACCTTGTCAAATGAGATAAAAAGTCAGCAAATTTCATTTTATATACAACAATACAAAAAATGAATACAGTTGCATCAAGCCAAGATTGGTACTTGATGCAAGGCATGACATATATGTATACATTAAAAACAAGGGAGAAGAACAGCTAAGGAAAGCAGTCAAATGCTGACACCAGTGATTTTGGCCCATTGCTTCTTCCTTCTAAGTTAAGAAAATGGTATGCTGACCAAAACATCACAATGGAACCACTCCAGGATGTCAAAGACACTATAAATCAAGGAGATGATACCTAAGGCATTACTTCTTCCATGGGAATAGAAGCACTCAGGTAGCACCCTCTCTTTTGATTACAATCACCAAAGGAACCATGCAGCCAATACCATCTGAATGAGAAAACATCTCCCCCAAATCCAGCCATGGCCTTTGTATGAAACAAATGGTGCAGTGCTAACCCACCACACCAATTCACTGGCTTTCATACTTTATGACCAAATATCTATTTCGCGGCGTACCAGTTTTGAGCACACTTGGCATCCACGGAGAGGCCGACTTTAAGAATATTCTTGCCATTAAAGGGTTTTGACATGCACTCTACAACTATGGCCTTTGCAACCTCAGCCGACTCTGTTGGCCCTTCCAGTATGACTTCATCATGAACCTGCTTTGTCATATCCCAAAACCTTAGCTAAAATGTAGCAAGGTTTTCAACTAGACGTTCCAAAACATTCAGATTCCAAATAGCATCAACATTGGAATATAGCAATAGAGAGTAACAGTGAATAGAAATCACAAATAATTTTTGTTATCAGTATCTTCTAAATTATATCACTTAAATAATCCAAACCATCCATAATTAGGAAGCTAAATGCTCATCATATATTCATATTCATATATAATGGGATGAAAAAGTGTCAAAGCAAAAATCAATATATAATGCGAGGAGCATCACGAAGAATGGAAAATAACTAGTGAGGAAAAGAACATACAACAATCAAGTTTCCATTACTCGTATTTATTTTAAAACAAGTGTAAACTGACTAACTTTTCAATCAACAGCCAGCTGCTTAGGCAGACTACTTATTTCATTGATCAAGAGAAGACAATAGATGAATGAAATTTTCTTCATTGTATAGCAAGCCCATAATACTATATATGTCAGTCATGCTCCATTTCATGCATTACTTATACCTGCCCCATTCTCCCCAATATGAATAGCTATATCATTGAAATCAAGCCTAAAGTATATGAAAATACTACAACGAAACTTGACAAAAAGTGAGCAGAGAAATCAAAAAGGAGAAAATTCTTGACATAAAGATTAACCTGTAGAAGTAACTTCCATCCAAGCTCCCTCAACTGTTCATTATTGGATATTTGTAACATGGCACACATGGCAACATCTGCTGCACTACCCTGTTGCATTCCACAAATCCAAAAACCAATAAAGAAAGGTCTGAAGGTGGGAATGGATCACAAAATTTGTAGATTGATAGTGGTAGGTAGAAGAATATAAATCTATTACTAACCAAAAACTCCCACGTATCAGTTACTCTACATTTACTAAAAAGCAAGAATGTTATTTTTTAACGGGGTTGCGGGGTTACTATAAGAGACCGAGTCCCTCTGTAGTTGTTAAATTTACCGTAAGTGACCATCAATGGAAATTTACTATAGGTGTGTCAATGGAAATAAGTTTATTATAAATTTACTATAAGCAGCCCTCAAACTTGAAAGTAGAGTGACAGACACGAAGGGGGGGTGGCACACTACTATTAATGTATTTGAAAGAATTAAGGACCTGCACTGGAGTATTAATAGCAGCTCGCTCAATGTGACCTCTGTGGTAGTTGTTAGCTTGGTTCATTGAAGGAAACCGCCGTGCTCGCCCTAGCAATGTGTAAACACATTGAGATTCATAAGCTTCTCTTTTACGCTCCTCTTGCCATTTCAACACTTCTTTTCTATCATTGTACCAAAGCTCAACCGTTCTCCTAGCTTCTTTCACAGAAACCTGAGAGAAAAATATATGTAACCTTAGTTGGGCAATCAAATCAATAATCATATGGACTTGTTTGTCACCTATGTAAGCCGCCCATAATAAGTAATAGAATTGAGGTACCTTCCAATCCTTGGAAAGTCCAACCGGAGTCTTTCCATATGCAATTGAGAAGTTAAGCATTTTGGCTTTCCTTCTTTCAGAACCAAAGGCATCCTGAAATGAAAAAGAAAAGTTAAAAATTGATACGAAAACAGTACATAGTTTTAACAGATCACAGCTGGTTATATTTTTGCCTAAATCTTGACTTCAAATTATTATGTACTGTGCCTGTTTTCTCATAAGTTGTTATTATAATAAACTGAGGGAGGCATCAATCTCAAGTTGGAAGGGTATGGTATAATGCTAAGCTGCTAAAAGAAGCTTAACTATGCCTCATATAGGCAGATTTGCTTTTATCAATATACCCAAACATTATTAAATACATCATACACCCACAAACTCAATTCAATTTTTATACATGTATGTTTGGAAGCCCATCATATATAAACCGCAAAACCTCTACCTGCCCAATGTCTGATGCTTTCACTCTTAACAGAGTATGCAGTGGCTGTCCTTTATTTCTAGTGATAAGTTCCTGAATTTTGAGTCTTTGTTCTAATTTTTAATGTAGTATCTGTATTCTAGTTAGCCATTCATCTGACCATTATTACTGCTATTGCGCGAGCAGAGAAGATGTTTCCTCTATAAACTTTATTGATAACTGAAATACAAAAGGTGGCAGGCGGCAGCCAAGACATGGAAACTGTTTTCCTTCACTTTTTTGGAGGCAAGGGGTGGGATTCATTTTTGTACCTTACTCAGCCATTGCTATATTTATTCATACTTCACAATGTAATCATTTTAAATTTCTTTAAGGTTTTGTTTGAATGGAATATTTTAAAATTTCAAGGAATTTGAAATACAAGAGAATTTAATTGCATCAATTCAATTATTTTCATTTGTAAACTTCTTTATTTGGATAGCTATTTGTGAAATTGAAATTTCAGTGCAAAATTTTGCAGAACATAAATATTAAAAATTGGAACAAGGCCAAAATTGCAATCTCACAAGAGGACAAAACAAAACAAGAGAGAAAATCGGAGGAGGATCTTCACTTTCATACTCATTGATGGCTTCAATAAATATCCTGAGAAAGCATTGGAGGAAATAGTGAGATAATATAAATAATGGAAAGGGTGTCCAAGAAATGGGTGAAGACCTTTGGTAGTAGAGGAGGGAGTTGTTGAGTTGGTTATTAGTGAGGGATTTGAGGGTGTCGTGTCAAGTTGTTGGACTTCGATGCGCCAATATCTGAAACATCATGCACTTCAGCGTTGGATTCGTCCCTTCTCTTGTTAGAAGAAAAAATCCCAGCGAAAACAGGAAAAGTACGAAACGAAACTCAGCAATGCACTGTTTCATAAAGCTGAAAATTTTCTCAGGAAAAGGCTGAGTTTTGTTGGTGGAGGAGGGAAAGGGATTTGAGAGGAAGGGTTGCAAGGACTGTGCGCATGTGCAAGACAAATGGCCACGCGAGAGAGAAGAGAGGTAATGGGAATCTAGGAACCTTTAACAAATGAGATGGAATTTTGTAAAGAACCAATTCAACCCAAAAACTTAAACTGTTAGGTGAGGTTACATTAATGGTTTTATATATCTCTAACAAGCCCCTCACACGAGAGCCCATCGGGCTTCAAGGGTATGATGCATCAGGCCCAACCTACACGTGTTAAGAAATTTCACAAGAGTAAGTGGGGGGCAGTGAGGATCGGACTCGGGACACGAGACTCTGATACCATGTAAAGAATCAATTCAACCCAAAAGCTTAAGCTGGTGGATGAGGCTACATTAATGATTTATATATCTCTAACACGTCCCTTCACAAGAGAGTCCATTGGGCTTGAAAGGTGGATGATGCATTAGGCCCAGCCTACCTGTGCTAAGAAATTCCACAAAGAAAATGGGGGCGGCGAGGATCGAACCCGGGACACCGAGGCTCTGATACCATGTAAAGAACCAATTCAACCCAAAAGCTTAAGCTGTTAGGTGAGGTTATCTCTAACAAATTTCAAATTCTTTATTTTGGGCAACAAAATACCCAATTATAATCCCTTGTAAATTTTAAAATTCCTATCTTAGGTACCCAAACAACATATTTTGCGATAAAAAATTTAATTTCTCTAAAAAAATATATTCCCTTCTTATAGTTCCTCATCCAAAACATTCTTAATTACTATAGATGTGTTCTCCAGCTTCTCTTTGAAGGTTTATATTTCAGGTTATTAGAGGGTCACTTTTTATGTTAACACTTCATTGGTTCCCTTTTCTATAAAATAAATTATTTAGCACAAAAAATGAATACATATAGCCTCTTTAATTTAATATCTTAATTGTATTTACAATTGAGGGAACTATGTTTAATGTAAACCAAAAAGCATTTTGCTCATAACTGCCATACCATTAGTTAAAAGACATACCATACTAACAAGAAAGCCATACTTGTGCATCTCAAAGCAAGGTTATTTCCATCTTATCTAACTATAAGTAGATCAGAAGACAATTTACCTTCAAGAGAGGAACTGGGGGTTTGTCTTGACCAGGCTGAGGTTGCCACTCAAGAAGCACTTGCTTTTTCTCAACTGCTTCGCGAATATATGGGTACATATTCATTGCAGTTCTTGAATGAAAGTCTCCACCAGCTTCAAAGGCTTCCAACATGCTCTTACAATTAGCTAGATGTGCAAGAATCCTAAGTTCCAGCTGTAACAATACATAACCCCATCAACAGAATGAAACTTCTAGCAAAGATAGGTAATGTAAAATGCTAACCTGTCCATAATCAGCAACTATAAGAGAATTCCCAGGTGCAGCTATGAATGCTTGACGGATTTTGTACCGATCCTTTTCCAAAGCAGGTTGATTCTAATTTATGAATTATATATGTTAGATTAAATCTGTAGCTTTTTGAAGCCAAAAATTAATATAGTCCATGTAACTAAGATTCATATTTGAATGTCAGAGTTTAAATTAAAAATAACTAAGATTCATAAGACAGTATGATTGTAAGCTCAAATAAAAAATCACTTCCCATGAAACCTTGATTTGCAAGGGTAGGGGTGAGGAAAATTCTTGTATGCAATCTTACCCTTGCATTTTTTCATCAAGACCAAATTAAGAGATAATGAATGCATCAAGACCAATTAGACATCAGACAAGAAAGTGAGAGCTTTCAAAAACTTAAGCTATTAGGCAAGGGCACATAAATGGTTTTATATCTAACATGCCCTCTCACATAAAAATCCTTGGAACTTGAAACATAGACAATACACATACCCACCCTATATTGTACTGAAAATCAACTTTTATTCATAAGAATGGTTGCAACAATGATACCATATCAAGAACCAATTCTCCCAAAAGCTTAAACAATAAAATAAAGGCGCATAAATGATTTTACACAAAAGCATAAAAAATGGAATCATACTACAATCAGTGAATATACAAGAATGGATGAAGGACGATGGATTATGTTGTGCTGAAAATCAACTCTTATTCAGAAGAATGGGTACAATGATCAAAATCTTGATCACTAGGTCACAGAGACTTTGATCCCATATCAAGAACTAACTCTCTCAAAAGCTTAAACCATTAAGTAAAGGCACATAAATGATTTTACACAAAACAAGCATAAGAAATGGAATCATACTACAATCAGTGAATATACTTGAACAGATGAAGGACAATGGAAAGTTGTATGGCATTTAAAAGTAAACTAGCAATCAATATGTCTTGCAAGATAGAAGAGAACCTGCAGATTTGGCCTTCTGGCTGACAAGCGTCCTGTCTCTGTGTTGATGTTTAGGGAACAATGAACACGGCGATCCTTTCCTGATATATTATGTCCCTGCCATTGAGAACAGATTAATCTAACATAGAAAAGACATAAGCAACCTTAGTGTTACAAACTAAAATACAGATGTATAATCTATAATGTACCAAGATCCTCCTTAAGCTTATGCAACCAGTTGATTAATTATGTGCTCCCAATTCCATCCTCTTTCTCACACACACCAAACACAAATTAGCCTTGACTGTGTTTCTAATGCACTTACGATAAACACTATTGATGCCAATCACACTGGGTAAGCAAACTTTAAAGGGGTAACATTAAAATCAGCAAACACAACCAGACCTATGAAAAAGTCTAAAGCAAAAAATTTAAAAAGAAAAAGACTAATTACCTGCAGGGGAAGGATGAAGTTAGAGATCAAAGAGTCAATTGAACAGACTTGACATAAAGCAGCAATTGCATGGCAAGCTTCTTTCCCTTCTTCCTCTGTTGAAAAAGCAGTAAAGGCTGTTCCGTAAGCAGAATTGTTTATTTCTACAGGTTCAACTTCACTTTGAGAAGGATTTCCATCTTCATCATCAAGATCTAAGCTACAAGCCTCATTATAGTCATATTCAGCAGAAATTTTGCCAGCCAGAGCCTTTAAAGCATCACCACTAACTGAGGGCCAACCACTTGGTGTGTACATCTCAATATTAAAATTACAACCAATGCTATTCAACTTAATATCACGAAATTTTGTGGGGGCCTTCTTGCCTTCTTCAATCACCTTATCAACATTGGGAATTTTGAAAATCCGCTCAGTTGGAATTGACTCATTGTGGTTCTTTCTGTAATATATAATGGGGGAGGAGAAAAGCTTTACTTACATCTATATGCTTGAGCTACTTCATCTTAAACAGCAGAGAATAATGTTTCATAAATAGAAGCTTGTGAGCTCAGCGAGAACAACATACTAATATATAAAGGAAGGGATAACATTCATGAATACATCATACTCATGATTCTCATATTGATACAAATAGAATATACCCTCAAGCACACAATTCCTTCATCCCTCCAGTTGAATGAGTTCAACAGATCCAGGTCAGCCACATTATGATTGTCACTAAATAAGGATGTCAAAATAAAATAAAATAAAAACTAAGAAATTATGATGGCTGACATTATATTGTGCAAAATAGTATTAGAAGCATCTTGAGCTATCACAGACAGGCAATAAAAACTCGAAGTAAGGAACTTTTTTTTTTTTTTTTTTGATTTATGGAATGCTCAATAGTGATGTAGAGAATATAACACAATGACATTGCCATCACAGTTCCCTGACAATGACGTGCATAAAGTTTACTTAGAATTCACAGTGCATAAGAGTTGGTAATCTTACAGTTGAATTGTTTCATGTAAAGAATACCACAGAAACTTAAAAAGCACTTATGCCCTGGATTAGAACTAAAATTATAGTTCATTAATACATAAAACACTAAGTTTTAAAAACAAAACAAATAAGAGTCTCGGTATAATACCACAAGGCCCTTCAAATTCAAAAATCAATATAACACATGCATATGTAGTTAACACTAAATAATAAATAATTTAATATAACAGCTTAAAATTTCAAAATAAAGTGTGCTTAATAAATTATGATTATATTAGCATAATTGAGATCTCTTATTTTTTTATTACAAAGCATTTTCAGTAAAACTCAGTTTACATGATAAATATTTCAACTTCAATTTCTAAATTCTCAATTTATTAATGCAGAAAAAAATGCTTCAAAAAGATTTAAATGATGTGCACCTGTTCACAGTGCCCCCAAAGAGCAGTATGCGCAACTGTACATCGCTTCCCACATTCATGTACTTGGCATCAGGACAATACCTACATGCCCATTTTCGGAATCTACTAACAGCTACCTCTTGCTCTGATTTGGCTACCTTTTCTATGTCTTGAAGATATGACTGGTCAACTAGCATTCCCTCAGATTCCATTTTGACTAGAAGCTCGCCAAATGGCTGCCAATATTCCATGTAGAAATCATACATGTTTTTGTTTAAAAAACGTACTCCATCAAATGTCCAGGGCATATCTGACAGATGACTCTTTAGGCTCTCATAAAGCTTCAGAGTGCTTCTAGCATCTAAGACAGAGTAACATATCCAAGGTATACGTTCGTCTCTTTGCAGCACATCAACAGGAGCAATGGAAATCATTTTTCCCTCTGATCCATCTATCTTCACCTTTTTCTGACCAAATATAGTTGCCATGGACACCTTACCAATCAAATCCTTTTCAAGATCCAGCTTAGCCCTAGACATGACCGTTTGGTCACCTGTAAGTCCTTCAAGAGAATAACCACCAACCCATCGTCTTGATGAATCCCATAGTCGTGCCATGTGCATTGTATCAGCATGAAATCCAGAAACCTTAAATCCATAGTTCTGTATAACATGACAGTCGAAGCTATAGTTATGCCAGACCTACATACAAAATGCACCAGTGACTTGGTTATTTCAAAAATTATTTTTATTCAGATGTCACACATACCCAATAATATGAAGCCAATATGAGTTTACGAAGCTAGAATCATGCAATTGGATAAGCTTTTTAGAAACACTTCTAGCTTTTCTTTACCAAATACAAAGCACTTATATGATGTAGCTTTCTTTTTAGAGCTTTTTCTCAGAAGCTACTCTTTTATCTTATGACAAAAGCATTAAGGTTACTTTTTATTTTTGAAAATCCAATTATTTTAAAATATTAAGACATTTTAACAAAAAAATTTGTTTTCCTAAAAAAGTATAACCGGACCATTATTTTGTCACTCCTGATGGAATGACATCACTGCAGATACTTCACTAAAAAAAGGCAGGTCTCCTTCTCCACGGAAAAGTAAAAAAGAACAATTCTTTCACAAATTATTTAGTTTGTTGCAGGAGAAGGGATGGGTACTTGCAAGGCTTAGACCAGACCCAACAGTCGGCCTTTACCCAAATGGTCCTTAGAGAGGATCAAGCACTACCTAAGAGATATTTATAGGGTTCCAATATTTGGGGGTGGGGGTGGGGAATACAAGGGTATGCAATGTTCAGAAATTAAAGAATGCAGAGGAAAATACTGATAATACCAAGTCTGAAGGGAGCCAGGATGGGACTGGAAGTCGAGTCAATATTTAATCCATAATGTGTTTTGAGTTCAAGTGTGAGTGAGAAAGGAATTGAGCACAGACATAGGAGTAAACATCACCAAGTAAAGAATGCAATACAGAAGATGATATTCTTGTCTTTTTATAGAGTTCCTAGAGCCTCGTTCACTCCCTAAAAGAGGGCTGATATTGTTCATCTCTCTCTGTGTGTGCATTTTCTTCACATATATTTACAGGCAAGTACCCTTTGTGAGATCCTATGTGCATCATCCTAGCATCTTACAATCCCCTTGTGTGATTTCTAAACATCTGATGGACCTCACAACATAACATCGATGAATATGCCAGGTTTGGTACATAATACATATTGCATTAGAAGCTGCCTTTAGATATAATAGACTAGAAACGGGCAAAGAAAAAATGGCACTGTGAAAAAGGTTAGGTTCTTCCTTGTTTATGTTACTACAAAATGAGATAAGAATGTCAAATGGCCCTAAACAACCAAATTTATCAAATATTGCTCCTTTAATAAGATTCACATTCTTTGTTCTGCACATAAAACATGTGCGATGTAGCAACTATTTTCCACCAGATAAACATTAATTTTAAAACTATGATTGCAATCAATTATTAACATGACATTACAACACAAATTAAACTACTCATTGTACCTCTAAAAACACATTGCAAATGAATATGGCTGTCTTTATTATATGCAACTTTACAGATCTAGATTATCCAAGGATAATTTCAGACTAGAAAGTAGCTGATTGTCACTTATCATGATTAGTGTGATGTCAGTCAAGGACCAACTCAACCCAAAAGTTCAACCTAACAAGTAGTCATGGGTTCATTCAAGATCCTTTTGAGCTTGAAGCATGCACATGCCTATTTTATTTTGTGCTGAAATTTAATTTATTTAAAAAGAATGGGAGCAGCAAGGATTGCACTCTTGGTCACTTGATCATAAAGACTATAATATCATGTCAAGGGAAAAAATTTCCAATAACTTTAGCTATTAGGTGGAGGCATGGAATTGTTGAATATCTCTGACCATATCATTCATTCAGTTTAAATCATGCAATTGACTTAACAGGTGCTACATATAAAGATGATTATAGGATTAAAAACATAAAAGAGAGGATCAGAAGAAATAGACGTTTACCTTTTTGATGGACGAATCTTGAAAAAAATCAGCAAACTTATTTAAAATCTCTTTGCCTCCACCATCAAGGACATCTACCCAGATACAGGACTTTCCCCCTCCAAAATCAGCTTCTGGACCCGAATAAATACTGAAACATATTATCTCCCCATGATCTACAGGTGTCTCTTGTTTGACATTTATCTTGGCCACCTTTGAAGACATATAAAATTGGAATATATTACATGTTCAAAATTTATGAAAATCATGTAGTCAAGAATCAAACTGATACAACTTTTAATTTACATGCAATTGAATAAAGGGTTTAAGAAAATAATATATTATTTCAATCTGTATGAGTTAAAAAGAACAAATCCACTGCCACCATATAGTATTCATCTCTACTTGGTGACAAATAAAGCATGCGTATTCTTTATGATCTCTCAGAAATTTCATAGAATGGACTTTTTATAGACCCCCAACGACCAATCCTTGCATGAATCGCTAGGGATCCAATAAGTCCAATGTTGATTTCTTCCGGTGTGTCAATCAGACAAATGCATCCATAGTGACTAGGGTGAATATCTTGTATCCTAAAACTAGCAGTTTGTCCTGTCAATCCCCCAGGGCCCAAATAACTCTATTTTCTTCCATTTGGGTCAATGAATTGGTTCGATCCAAAACTTGAGATAATGGATGTAATCCAAAAAAAGACTCAACTCATGTTCAAAGTATACACATATTAGAAAAAGAATCTAGTTATGTACAATGTTGCAATCAGGGCACAACCATTTAACAAATTGTACCTCGGTATCACATGCATGTATAAGATGCCTGTAATTTACTGTAAGCATCTTAGCAACTTCCTCTGCAAGAGAAATATTATTAACAACCAATATGTCTTCATAGATACTACACAGCCTGTTCCGGAATTTTGATTGATCAGTACTACGTGTCTTTGTAACATATGTTGCATTAGTTGCATCCTTTGCAGTTGTATCCAAACTGTGATTGCCATTAACTCTATCAACTTTCACTTTATTGATCTCTGATGAAGATACATTTATCTGGGTGCTGGTGCCCACCCTTTCAGTGTCTATCAACACCTTTGAGTTGCTTGTCACAGAATATTTAACAGAATGTGAGGCAGGTTCACCAAGATCCCGCAGCACAAGGTTGTGCTCCCCATTCTTAGAAACAGCCTGTTCCTGAACATTGGAAGCAATTGTATTAGATGTATAAGAACTACACTTGTCCGTCTCAAACTTGTTCAGAGCGTGTATCTCCCATTTTCTTTTAGACAAATCAATAGTTTTCTCAACCCAGCCTATTTTATTCCCACCGGATGATTTTTTATACGCATGGGTTCTGCGAGTGGGCAATATGCAATTCACAGTAGCATAACCCCCCATCCTAACTTGTTTTTCATAGGAGCGCGAAGAACTCAGCTCTTCTTCCTCTGTCATGTCCTCCAACATGTTAGTTGATGCTGTTGAAAATTTCATAAATGAAATATGTACTGGAGAATTACGGTTACATTCCATTTCATTGCATTTATTCAACCCCAGAGATGTTCTCTTTAGACAGTATGAACCTTCTCTAAATTGTCGAGAATTACTAGACACTGTTGTACTTTGGAGGACATTGTTGGCAATCTGGACGGATTGGATTCTTCTTCTGCAGTTCACGTCATGCAAAGAAAATAGGAAGATACCAATCAATGCAATGTAATAGCATATTTAACTCTTCATTTTAGCATGTAGAAGATGCAATACTTAACCACTTTGGGCAAACAATACCATGCAACCATGCACTGGAAAAAAAAAAGAAAAACATTCTGTAGATGTGTGTGGTAAAATAATACATATTCTGACTTTTGGAAATGTCATAAACATTAAATCTTTTTTTCCCACTATCAGTATATCATTTGTGCCACTATAGTCAACATTTACGATAGTTAATCACACGATCCCTCGTTGCCTGCTTTACATTTTTTACATGTAGTTGTTAGTATGAATAAATTACAATAGTAATACTTTATCAGCAAATGTGAGGTGTAAACATTATAAAGAAGCGGTTACCAGTCTCAACCTTTTAAAACGTGAAAGGAAACAAGGACCTCTACACAACAAATGTCAACAACAAACGCCAAAAAAATTTCAGCCCGCCATTTGTTTGATGTCATATTGATTTCCAAATAAAATATAACAAAATGATCAGAAGAGAAAGCACTAGAAAGACCATACAACCTCAGGAATGTCATCTACATACCACTTCATGGTTTAGAACTTATGCTTTGCTTTCTAGTAACTTGCTATTCAACGCGATTTGTTGTTAATATTTTTAATCACTGGTTGAAAGTTCAGAAACTAACAAATTTGAAAACTTATCAACATAAATATCAAGCTACTAGCAAACATAAAGCCACGTAAAATTTACACGGTTACACCCTTTTCATAATTTACAGCATACACGGTAACAGATTCTATAAACACTTGAATTTTTATTTTTTATTTTTGCTTAAATCCATATATCCTTAAGTTAAGAGTGAAAATATTGTTCAAGCCTTCGCAATAACAGAACCATCCATAAACTGAACATTTACAATTATTCAGTTACAATGCACAAAACTTAGGAGAAAACCCCCTAAAAAGACCATGAGCAAAACGCTATAAAGAATTTCTTCTGAACACACTACAGACACACAAATAAACCTCAGGCCAAATCCTATTACATTTTCATCATCAAATCAAACTGTTTCCACGCCTTAACTCAATACCTCCCTCACCCTCTCTACCCACTTAAGAAACTCCAGTACAAATTAGACGTTTCAAAAATTTCCAGGAATTAGAAACCAAACCAAACTTATATTTCAAATTTCATCTCTTGAAATGCATTATTGACTACAGTAAAAGTTCAAATGCAAAAGAGAAACCATAAGCCAGCATAGGACCAGATAGTTGAGCTCAATAGTAGTTACTCCCTTTATAAAAAGCAAAAAAAAAAAAAAAAAAAAAAACATAGAGCACATACAATAGAAAAACAAAAAAACCCCAAAACAACACAAACATTCTACCAAAACCCCAATATCATTATCAAACGATTCCAAGACAAGTGCAAGCAGAAACCAACACCCAATGCAGAAAAGACAAAAACTTTGGAACGAACCTGTGGTGGGGTGGTTCAGAAGAAGCCAATAAGGACCAAGAAGAGAGAGCTACACGGAAAGGGCGTGAACAGAAGCAAGAGGGGCAATAATATATTGGTCTAAAAGGGGTGCTCTGAGAAGACACCCCCATAGCAACAATCATACCCACAAGTTTCCCCAGCTTTGTGCCACTCTTGGGTATGCAACGACCCGTTTTGGTTGCTATGGCAATGGCAAAAAGGGTAAATAGTTGAGGTGGGTCAGGGCCTTATTTGAGCTGCAAGACAAGTGGGTGTGCCAGTGAAGAATAGAAGAGTGAATAAGGCCATGACGAGAGAAAGAGGGTTAACATGAGTACAAGATGCCATAAACCCTGCCCCTACCAAAATGCATACAAGTACAAAACAAAGAATGAAGAGGAACATGAATTATACACTGTAAAGGGCAAGGTCTTTTATTTTTTTTAATTTATTATTATTAGTAAATTATTTAGGGGATTACAACGTGAGGGTGACAATGCTGCTTTGTTGAGTAATGTCTGACTGTCTGTCCCCTTCTCTTATTACAAAACTCGGGCTTGGGCCTTATGTTCTCTTGACAAATGAGTACTGAATCATTTGAGCTTTTTTTTTTTTTTTTTTTATATTCCAATTGATTTATGATTTTGTGATTAAATCTGATTTGGGAAGAGTTTTGGAATTAAGATTTTAAATCTTTCTCAAATAAAATATTAAAAAAAAATTGAATATATACTCTCACTTTTATCTGTTCAATTTCCTGATACCAATTGAATTACCATTATTTGGTTGAATCATTTGAATTAAATGAAGGGTTATTATTATCAATGATATTTAACCGGTTATCAATTGGGTTGAGATATTTCATATTTGGTTAATGGTTGAATTAAATTTATATAAAGATATATAATAAGGGGATTAGATTTTTACTGTTACAGAAAAGAAATTGTTTAAGATGTCAGTAATTGACCCATCAATTACAACAAAAAACTGTGTTAAAAAAAAAAAGAAATTTAATCTCCCACTGACCTATTACAAACTCGGAGAGGAAAAAATATGGAGCGAGAAAAAATGAATGATGGAGCCCACATACAATTTTAAAGTTATTAGGAGTTGGTCTTGTCATTCTTGCAACATATGAAAAATTTCCCCCCCTGTATAATCAATATATAAATAGAAGTTAAGAGTTTCACTCCCCTCTAGGTTCACATCATACTGGGTTAGTATTAGTTGAATTTAGTTTATGGTCAGTTTATCGGTTTTGACCGAATTATATGCATTGGACCAAACCAATTAGTGGTCTTGTTTCTAATTCAATCAGTCGCTTATATTGAAAATTTTCCTGAATTTGTTATGAGTTGAAAAATAAATGTAATAATATGGGAATTATAATAGTATATACTATATAATTGTGACTTAGTAGTTAGTAGTTACTACTATTATATGTATTTTTTTTATTATGATACAAATTTAATCTTATATGTGGAATTATCTTTAAAAATATTACAGAATTCTAAGAACCAATTCATCATTTTATGGAGAAATACTTTCTCATGTTGTTGGAAAAAAATATTTCGCCTAGCACATATACATCAATTTATGTACTTTGATTTTATTTTTAAATTTCTTAATAGTGGGATTCATATGAAACTTGTGTCTGTAGGAAAAATTTTCCTCTCATGTCAAAGGAGAAAAACAAAGTACTTATTTTATATAGGTGAATTGGTTAACAACACTGGATGATGATCTGATTCATAGTTAAATTGATTATGGTCGGACCATTCAGTTTTGATAACATTGATCAAATAATTTTCTTTCTTTTTTGCCATGGATTATATGCCATTTTTTTTAGATAATTTATGGGTAATATTTAATTACCATGTTTGGTATGGGTAATGTGAAAAAAATTTCAGCAAATATTTTTCCCGAGTATTTCCCTTTTCAACTACACAAAAGCAAATAATTATCCCATTGATTCTTTGGTATTTTTTTTTTGCCTATGATCTTGAATTCTGAATATAATGTGTTGAGTCAAAAACACCCTCCACTAATACATGAGCACAGTAAAATGAATATAATGTGTTGAGTCAAAAACACCCTCCACTAATACATGAGCACAGTAAAATGAACCACTTTGATATAATATGTTGAGTCAAAAGCGTTTGATATATGAATGACTTTTCATATTCAACAAATTAAAGGGTATTTTGGTATTTTTTATTCACATTCTCTTCAATATTTTATCATCAACCAAACATAGCATTAATAAAATGAATTCAACTTTTTCAACAAAATTTTGGTCAACCAAACACTTTTTCGTAACTTATCCGGGATAAAAAAATTCTTACCAAATCCTCAGTCATCATACAAATATTATTAGATAATAAATATAGAAATACAAATAACTAATTATAAAGTCCTTTATTTATACATACATAATTTTTTAATTATATATTAATATAATATACTTATTTCATATAGAATATAATAATTTTATAAAAGGTACTTAATTTTAAATTAAAAAAATATAATTTTCTTAGTCTATTCAAAACTCTTTAAACAAGGTTTCCAGGCTTTACAAAAATACTTGAAATCTAGGCCAAGCCAAAAAATTTCAGCAAAATGAGTTTGGATTTATTTAAGGAAAGCATGACCAATTTGCACCCAAATATGTGAATATTAATACGCATATAATATCCAAAAAAATGCTCTGATCGTTGCCATGCTTAATATCCTACACAATGTAACTCATATAATTGAATGTCATGACATTAATATTGACAAGTTGGTATTGAAAATTGAAATGGCCTTAACAGGCATGCATGGGGGTATGGTTTCTTTTTCCTTAGTGTTTAACCACATGAGGAAGTTCTTCTAGAGGTTCCACCATAAGAGAAAAATGGTCATTTGAAGTTACAATATCATTTCACTTAATTTTTGTTGTTGTTATCATCATCATTATCATTATCATTATCATCTTCATCATCATCATCATCATCTACTACATCAGATTCATTTTCTCCACTGCTGTCTCCATTCTGAGCAGAAGAAGTCTCTTTTGTATGTTGTGGTTCATCCACTTCTATTCTCTTCCTTGTTAAAAAGTCAAGAGCTGTAACCACGTCACTGATCAAAGGCCGGGTATCAGCTTCCTCTTGAAGACACACTGCTGCTATTGCTAGAGCTTGGTATAGACCCTTTACGGGGTAGTTATCTTCTAGCAATGCATCAGCCATTAGTGTAAATTTCAATCTGTCTCTGAGAAGTGGTTGTGCCTGAAAAGAAGGAACATGATCAATGTCCAATAAGCCTCAATATTCTTTACTCTAGAGTAATGCTATGATTTTTGTTACATCATAAAAGTTTCAAGATAACCAACAACATTGATTCAACCAGTAAGAAGCTTGTCTCCCTTAATCAGAATTTTCAAGTTTGAGTCCTGAGAATGAAGAAAATTGTATTGGGAGAGTCACCCCAATACGGTCCAATACTACTCGAACCGAACTAATCGGATAATCCACAAACCAATTGGAAAAATAAAAGTTTCAAGAGATATACATACCCAAAGGACTAAATTTTGTTCTTCTGATGGCCTTGAAGAATCAATAACTCTTCTTCCTGTGATAATCTCCAAAAACACTACTCCAAAGCTGTACACATCTGATTTAGTAGTCAACTGTCCTGTTAATGCATACTCAGGAGCACAATAACCATAAGTTCCCATCACTCTTGTGGATACATGTGATTTATCTCCAGTTGGACCAAGCTTTGCAAGTCCAAAATCAGAGAGCTTTGGATTGAAGTTTTCATCTAACAGTATGTTTGATGCCTTGAAATCACGATATATCACTGGTGGGTTTGCTACTTCATGTAAATATTCAAGTCCTCTTGCTGCACCTTCTGCAATTTTCATTCTAGTATGCCAGTCCAAAGGCTTTCTGTCAGGAGTTAATTCTGTCAAACATTTTGTTGTTTGTCAGATAACATTTAGATTCTAAATAGTAAATAATGATAAGGTGACACTTCAAAATGTGGAATTTCTAGTGTACTTTCATACCACTATGCCGGGATGCATCAAATTTCTAAGGTTTTCATAGGAGGTCAATTCATACATAGCATAAGTTCAATAGGGTCCTTGGTATTTCCAGTTTTGGTTCTTGATACCGGAACATTGGTTTGATCTTACAGAAAACACCTTCTCATAATTTACATGTATAATTGTTTTGCTATACTGCAGAAAATGCTAAGAAAGAAATAAATTCCATAGAACAATTTCTAAAAACATAATCTACTTAAAATCTTCATGCAAGAAGAAGTTTGCTTTATATTGTATTTAAATGAACCACCATGATGGTCCATTATACTCATACTTTTGTTTTGAACCCTACTCTTAGTTTCATCATTCCTTTGATTCAAATTGGACACTTAAATTTGATGTCATTCTGGATTTCAGCTTTTATACATTGCATGACATGGACATTGTGTAAGAAGTATATCTACTTACCTAGTAGATGATCTTCTAACGAACCATTGACCATGTATTCATATACCAAAATCCTCTGATCACCTTCAGCACAATACCCTACCAAGTTGACAAGGTTAGGGTGGTGCAAAAGACTCAAAATCAAAACCTCTACAAGAAATTCCCTGTTTCCTTGAAATCCATTCCTGTCTAGTTGCTTCACAGCAACAACCTGCAAGTAACACAGCACTTCGAAGGTTATTTACAACCTTAATAGGCTTCTTCCTTAACATAATATTCAAAAGAGAAGTTGAAGTAACACTTGATTTGTGCTTTTAAGGCATCCTTTGTAAACCCTCCCAAAGCCTCCTTCACCAATCATATTGGCATGGTGAAAATTCTGAGTTGCATTGCATAGTTCACGAAATGAGAAAATCTTAGAGGTAACATTTCCTTTCCCAAGCTTTGCTATCTCTTCTGTTATGAACCTTCGCTTGCCACTATCTACAAGAAAAAGTTCAAGTTTTCAGCACTTATATTTATCTTTGAGAAAGTAAGTACTTTAAAAGGCTCAAACCCACTAAATTTGACAAATTGAGGGAGATATCTGATGAAGTAAAAAATATAGACTCTAAAGGCCTGAACTCTAGCATTTGGATCCTTCTCGTTTCATACTAGTCCTTATAAGGCTTAATTTTATGAAACCTAATAACCTATGTACCTAAAAATAAGTAATGAAACCTATTGTGATTGTACTAACATTACATATATTACCAATTTATACCTAAATATTCAGAGAAATGGATAGTACTAGCAAATGATTTGCATAAAAAACAACATTAAGCTGAAGACATGATACATCAAATTTGCAGAATTTTGGCCTACAAATCATACAATACAATGGTGAGAAACCTCCAATTCAGACCCCCACATCCAAAAAAATAGGAACAAAGAGACATAATTCTGAATCCCCACACCAAACAAGAAGGAAAATAAGAAAAGCATTGTGAAATGATGAGGTAGATTAGCATTGAAGTTGATAAGTTTACCACTTCTAAAAGAGATGTTGGCAAATGAGGATAGAGTTTTTGCAGCATGGTATTCCTTAATGCTCTTCTTCAATGATTTCCTATTGATCTTCTCTTGTGACATACAACATTGAAAGCAGCTCATTTTCCAAGCCTACAATCTGATCGATCAGATAAAACCCCACATTAACAAATTTTCAAAATTCCTGAATTGGGTTTCCAAATCCATTTCTCAGCATGCAAATATTATACCCTATGATCCAATGCTAGAGAAACCTTATACACAACTCCATAAAGGGCCTTAAAATCTGTTTTAGTTGTTCTTAATCAAAACCTTGGCCCTGCAAAATACCACGTTAATCTTCAGGATTCAGAGAATCTTTCCAACCCCGCATGGTTTCTTTTGCTTCGTGTTTCTTCAAGGCCTATGATTTCGGAAAGGATACGAAGACTTGGTCAAATTTACTAAACCAGACAGTGGCGTAGCCACGTCCAAGCCAGCAGTGCTTGTTTTTTTTTTTTTTTTTTTTACTTATTATATAATTAATTATAATTAAGTAAAATAAAATTTTAATTTATCACCACCTAAATAAAAAATCAAATAAATTTTTTTTTTTTTGTAAATTAAAAAAAAAAAATCAAATACTTAATACAAAGTAAGAACAAACTATCTAAATGCAAACAAATAATAAGGAACATGCATAATATGGTTATTTTTTGTCTTTTACCTTTTTTTTATTTTTTATCTTGTATATTTTTTTTTTCTGTTTTATTCTAATCAATTATGTTATTTATTCTTATTTCTATTATTTTAAAAAAGAAAGACATATAAACTTAATCACAAAAATGATTAGTTGTCCTATTTTAAAATATGGGCCCAATTAAATCAAATAAACACATTTAAAAGTAGGAAGGATAGTTTGTCCTTGTAAAGGACACAATATTGTATCTTTTTAGTTTTTGACATTATATCTTACCTGTAAAACATAGTTATAATATGAATTTTTTTTTTTCTATTTCCTCAGTCACTTCAGCTAACGTGAAAAGAGAAAAAAAAACTATTTTTCATGTTATAACTATGTCTTACCGGTAAGACATAATGTTAAAAACTAAAAGGAAACAATTTGTGTCCTCTAAAAGAACAAATACTTAACCATTGAAAGTAACAATCATGAAACCAAATGAATAACAGGACTATAATTATGGAATATGAAGGTCCATTGAACTATTGTGTTTTGGGTTATTGCACACAAATAATAGTCAAAAACCTAATTCCCAAATGTGAGAACTTTCCTTCATGTATATAATTATATAAGTAATTATAATTGGACCCTAGCTAAAATTGTAACAGTGGTAACATATGAAGATATGGAGCTGCTTTCCGTGTATGACTAGATAACATATTTCTTTCTTCTTAATTTCTTCTTCTTCTTTCATCTTTTTTCAATTGAGGTTCTCTTCTAACCTTTTTTTCTTATTCACACTCATCACCCGAAACTCAGCCATTCTGCGACAAGGCACGATGTTTCGTTCCTCTCTTCAAGATTTCACGGATATCTGTTCTTGGAATATGCATGGGTAATTATATTGTCCGTTGGCGAAAAAAATTGATTTATATTTTTGAATCTTATAAAAGTGAAATTATTTGTCTTTGCTGACCATAATTGTTTATTGAGTGTTTCTAAGATGAGTGAAATTCACGCCCCTTTATTTTATTAACAACTTTTTTTGTGTGGTTGTAGTTATTGATATTATTTCTTTTGAAAAAAATGTAGTGTTGTTTTACGTTTACCGTTTAAAAAAAATTATTTTAATGTAGAGCTACAATTGCTTTTGGTAATGGAATTTAATTGTTTATTTGTGTTATTTGTATTTTATTTCACAACAAGAATGTGAATTTTGGTTATTAATTAGTTGAAACTGTTAAAGAGAAAAATCAATGAAGATATATGTATATATATGGAGTATGAAAATTTCTTATACATATCCATTAACAACTTTTTTTTTTGTATTTTTAAAAATTTTAAAATATCTAAACACTAATTAAATGATTTATGTGGACCCAATGTCTTTTAAATGATTTTAGACATTTGTCGCTGATTATTCTATGTTTCTTTTTAATTGTGAAGTTTGTTGTCCCTCTATGTTAATGTTCTTCACAGGTCACAACTATGGGTATAAGTGGGCCAAGTTAAGCCAAACTTTGACTTTGATAGCCTAAGCCCATGTAAAATATTTGGAACCTATACTGACCTATTAGCCTATTAAATACTTGATTCATGACCTGCGATATTATAAAAAACTAAAAAAATCGAATACGACTTGTAAGGCCTACTAAGTTGCAAACTAAAGTTTGTAGGCTCAAATCAAATTAAAATATAAAAAATATAAAATTTTATTCACAAAGACCACATGAAATCAATTTTCATTAACATCACATAAAATAAGCTTTCATTAACATCACATGAAATAATCTTATCAAAGATCACATGAAAATGTTTATAAAAATAAAATGAAAATTTCATATATGTATATATAATCTGCACTTTCTTTACTGATTTTATTTTATATTATATTCTAAATTTTAAATAAATAACTATTATTTGTTAAAATAACATCGATCCTATTACTTTAAAAATTAAATCCTGTCTCTGCCACTGAAACTAGAAATAGCCAAAGTGAATCATTTATGTTTAACTATGGCTCTCGTTACCAAAAATCTATCCGTTACAATGATGTATGATTTTATGCATGTCTGCTTTCACATAATTACACCTAATAGAGGATGTGTTTCATTTATGAATCCAACTAAGATTAAATAATGCCAACTATGTTATATGGTTGAACATATATACATTTTGTCCTTTCCATCTACCTCACAAGTATATATAATGGCTTTGCCTTGAATAATATGTAAAATTTATAAAAAAATATGTGATGTTGAAGTGTGGAACAGATTTGACATATTGATATTAACTTTTATCATTTATGATTCAATCGACTAATCAATTATGATATGGGAAAAATATTTATTCTTTTAAATGATATAATTTATGTAATTTAACTCTCATAGAGAGGTGAAATCCACACATTTTTTTTTATCCACTCTCTTTCCTACATGATTTATCTCATTCTCTCACATAACTTTATATTTTTTAAAATGAGTATGTTTTTTCGAAATAATAATTAGCGGTAAATAGGAAGCTGGATGCCACCGATTTGATCGAATCGTTAAAACGAAGATAATGACCATTACTTTACCACACACGTTTCCTTTCTTTTTCCCTTCCATGCCTTAAACAATGAATGAAGGAAAATGTTATCTTTTTTTTTTTTTATTGAAAAAAATCACTTTTTACTCGTACTCTTGCGGTTACCCTTTTGATTTCAACATATATCATTTAATTCTTTAAATATAAAAAATACTCTTAGTATATAAAATATAAAAAATATCTTTAATAGATAATGCACTAAATTAGAAATAAAATATATTAAAAATATCCCTATTTTATTTTATCTACCCATATACAATAATTAATTTTTTACTTTTGTGTGGTTGGTGAGATTTCTCAAATATGCAATGCAACCATATTTTCTCTTATAACTCGTTATATTTAAGTGGAGGAAATACATATCATAATTGTTATAAAAAAAATAAAAATACATATCATAATGGATCTCATTTAGAGATGGCAAAATCAGTTCAATTGGTTGGATAATCTCTCACAAATAATAGGTTGGGTTGGGATCTCACCATGCCAATCCTTTTGAGCCTACCCTATATAAGGGTGGGTCTAAACAAATTTAGCCTATGGCGGGGTAGGTTGAACAATCAGGTAATTTTTATTTTTTTTAAGTATCAAATAGTATTTTATTTTTCATGTTAAGCTTGTGTGCTACTCGGAATTTTTATGTATTCATCTATAAAAGATAAAGAATAAAATACTTTATTTATGACAAATGTTATTCATAGAAAGAGACAAAAATAAATTCCTAAAAGCTGTCAAACTAAATATTAACATATATTTATTTATTTTTAAACAGATTGACCCCTCAAGCCACTATGAAATGAGACAGGTTTCCAAATCACTTTAAAAAGATGAGACAACCTCCGTCTGACCCTGTTTTTGACGGGTTTTGGTCTAAGCAGAGCAACCTGGTTTGCTATCTCTAAATTCTCATCTAGAGAACATGATTGGATATTTTTTTTGAAAAATAGGATTTTTCATGTATGACTCGTTTTAGAAGGGATTTCGAAATAAAGCATTTTTAACTAAGAAAAGTTTGGAGGTTGAAATTAAAATCTACAATTACTAAAATGAAAATATGTGACAGCAAAATCGAAAAAGCAAAATTTAGGGTTAAATTTCATCATCAAGGGCATTAGTTACGGTCAAAAAAAAAAATCCAGCAGGAGCACAAAAAATGCAAAATCATCATTATTAATATTATTAGTAATTATTTTTTTTTTTATATTTTTTCATGTTGCATGATATGTCTTGTTCTTGGCATCTTGGCCGGACAAGAAGTGCATGTAATGAAAAGTTCATATATTTCGAACTTCCAAATCCAATAATTACCTCTCTCTTAGAATCTAAATTCTACATTCCTCCGTTGGCACAAAATGATATCGTTTTGAATTAAATAATTATATAAAGGGGAAATAAAAGTATTTAATGTTACTTTAGATAATTTTGTCTGATATTCACCAAAATAACATAATTTTGGGTTGAAAAATTAAAAAATTAGAATGATAAAAACTATTATAATCTTGAAATAAATTAAAATTACAAATACACCATGATTTCTGTCCCAAAACGACATAATTTCGGTGAACATTTGACAAAGTTATTTAAAATAATTTAAAAAAAAACGAACCCTAATTAAATTCAAAAACTACAAAATATTAATTTTCAAACTTTTTGAAACCTCTTGCAATCATATAATTGTGATTTTAAATAGATCGTTTTACTCGGGAATGAATCTCTCATCATCTTTTTTAATATGATTATATCATATGAAAAATATCACACAATCATTTTTTTTTTCCCCATTTTAGGAATGTTAACATTAAAATTGTGACCATTGATTTATCAATAAATGCCTGAGATTTTCACCTGACATTGTATGTTGAAGAAAGGCATAGAGAATCCATTCCTATTTTACTGAAAATGGTAGTTAGTAGTAACCATATGTGAAAAGTTACGCCAGAACTGCTAAAGTGACAGGCTTCTCATGTAATATAAAGGAAAGCCATATGTGTCATATCATTTGGCAGCTTAAATGAAATTATTCAAACAGTATAGGGCTTTTTGACCCATATAAGTTGAATTATGTAACTATTCGTCAAGTTTAATTCTTTTTTTTGGCAACTATTTATCAATTTAATGTGAAAAGATGCGCATTCTAATGGTGTGCATTCAAATTGCACATCACCTCATGTGTGACTTAAGAAAAGTCAGCGTGTGCCTCTCATACAAAACGCACGTGGAGAGAGTGTGCGACTAATTTTTCTTTACATGGACCAAAAAGCTAGTTCATAAAAGTTTATACTACAAAGTTTCACATTATGGCTCACTGTTACACAGAATCTCTTCATCTAACCTGCATATATAATAATTGCATATTCTGCCAAACACACACTATAAATCTTGGGAGTAGAGAAGACTAGATATTATGGTAAGTGAAGTTGGAAGTACCATATATGTCAAAAATGATAATTCACAAGCAAACATCCATCTAAATAACCAGCCACATTTCTACAAAGTAGGTACCAATTGATAAATATGTTTCTAATTCTTATGTGATGCAGTGAAGCCAGAGCAAAGTACATACATTAAGATACTAAAATATCATGTTTCTTTAAGAAATAAGTAATACTGCTAACAAGTAGTAAGGTTTTAGTTTTATTGGCTAATAATTTTTCTAACTGTGGCCAAACCTTGCTATCTTTAATTTTGTTATCACTCCCTCGAGTCTCCTAATTCTCTGTTCAAGTTCCATTACTTTAATTTCACATACACAGCCACACCTTTCACCTTGAGTCCCAAAAGGGTTTACCCTGTCAATAGACATCATTGATTCTTTGCTCCCAATTGCATCTTCAAGATTTTCCTTCAAATCCCCCACTGAAGGTGTAATGTTATCCCTTGCAACTGGCTTCGTCAGTGGTAATATGTTTTTAACATCTTCATAATCTGCAGCAGTGGCTGAAGAACATTGGTTGGACAAATGCTTACCCAAACCGAGAGTTATGCTACCACACTTGTTTTCTTCCAAGACAGGCTTACAGTCCTCAACAGAAATGCAAGGAGTCAGAGTGTTATGTTTTGGAGAAAAACTTGTTGGAACAACACCACCAATATTTACTTTTCCTTTCAAACCATCATGAAAAGAATTTCCAGGAGGAACAGTTTTCAAATATTTAGGAAGAAAACCAGCATCACTATCACCCTTCCTAGTTTCTGAACTATCACCATAAGATTTTCCAAAAATCACAGTGCTAACAAGTTTGGGAGGAAACCCAGGTGGAACATCAGCATCATTTCCACTTCTGTTTGCTTTTGATGAATGAGGCCTACGTTTTGATGATCTTGCACTTCTCTTCCGCCGCACAATATTCTTAACAGGATCCTGATGACCCAATACTGATTGCTTCCACCACCATGCATAACGTGTGGTAACATCTGCCTCAAAAAGCCTACATGGAAAATACAAATTCCCATCAGATATGGGCCTGCAGTAATTTTCCCATGCAACGGCTTTGGTCTCATTGAATCTAGGCACACAACCAGGAACATCTTGATCCATTCCAAATTGCATAGCAACTCTATGTGGGAGGTACTGCTTTATAATAGTGTCAATTCCAACAAGCTCCGAAGCTCTCAAGCATGTAACATAAGAGACTAGCTCTTTATCCAAATTGGTCTCAGATGATACCCAAATTTCATTTTCCGGATAAAACAACCTGTATTTATCAGCATATCTAACATATGGGCGCCAAAGAAAATCCTCCTTAGCTGAGTCTAGTGCCAATCTCACATTGTCAGTTTTCAAGGCCTTGACCTTGTGCCACCTACCCAACATAGGGTCTCCATTGTTGATCAACTCGGGCTCTGGTTGCAAATTCTTGAACCTCTCCCACACCCAAACTTGAACAAAGTACATGGGTGACTGAAGAGTAACCTCCAAATGCAATTTATCACCGAGTGCTGGATTTTTTGTTAAACCAACCATTGTTGTTTTCAACAAATCCAGATCCTTATATATGCCAGCCAATACTGCTGGTGCCAAAGCAATGGGATTCCCTCTTGCAAGATGAACAGCAATAGGGAACACAGACTTTTTTACCAATCCATTATCAGGAAAAACAAACATGGACAACCAAGTTGCAAGGAATGCTTCATGCTCAATATCAAACTCACTATTGATGAAAAGATTCATCCATTCTGCTGTGGAAGCCTTAGTTTTTTTTCTTCTCCAAGGCTCCATTCTTGCCAGAACCAATCTTTCTTCTATCTCTCTCATTTCCTGGCTTTCAAGTGCGGTGAAAACAGGTTCACCAAGAACAGGATAGCCTCCCAAAACCATCACATCCTCCAACGTGATTGTTGCTTCACCCCATGGAAACACAAATGTATTTGTCTTAGAACACCACTTCTCTGCAACCCCAATGGCCAAGTCTTGATTTTTCACAATGCAGCACTTGGTGCTCATGATAGCTTCAAAGATGCCAGCTTTCTTCCACACTGATTCATACCTGGGATGAAGGGTATCCACCCACCCAATCCATTTCTTTGGTGATTGGGGCCACCCATTGAAATGGATTGCTAAAGGCCTCTCCTTGTGTTCAAACATGGGTAACACAGTCACAGAGGATGAAAGAATCTCACAGACTTGTCCATCAGTGAAGTTTGCAATGGGTTTCAGAAAATGGGCAGTTCTAAAAGTTGGTTCACTATCACCAGCAGGTGAAACCATAAAATCTTCCTTCACCTCCATGATGGTCTCAAATGGTTCATTCATTTGTATGAAACAATGACTCAAAGCTCTAGTGCTTGATTTTCTAATGAGAAAATATGGACAAGAAAACAGAATGTGATAGAGTGAAGATAATCAGGAAGAACCTAATTTTCTAAAAATGGTTGCTGAGACCCTCACACTGCATTGTGTTGCCTTAGACTCTAAAAATGTAACGTGATACCAAAAATGGACGGATCACGTTCGGGGTGTGTGCTCTATGCAACTTTGCCAAAGAGCATTCTTGCGCAGTAAGGTTAATGTGATAGAAAACCGAAATTATCCTTTGTTTCTTGCAATATCTCAAACAAAATAAACCTCCTTTTGTATTATGCTAAAGGGTTATTTTGTGAATGTGGTCTCTGATGGGTAGCAGAAATCAAACAAAACGTTTTTTTTTGTTTTTTTTTTGGTATCCCTTTTCTTTGACGTTTTTGTTACAAAAATCCACTATATCAGAGGAACGAAAAATCCCCACAATAGTATCAATGGTAAACGCAAACATGAGACATCGAAGTTTAATTGAGTTATAGTATATGGTTCATTTAATCAACTAAATTTCATTTATTAAACTCTCTTGTAATCACAGCATTAATGTTGACGTTTTATACACATTTTGCTCCTCAGCTTAGCCTAAACGTTTTCATGCCAAATATTTCTTAGATGATATTTGTAGAATATATCCTGATATTTGTGGATTTCATTTTTCTATTCTTCTTTGATATTAGAAATTTCTTAATTTTTCTCATTTTGTTTTTATAAGGCTATAGATAAAAGGATTTTTCACGTGTAAAACTGTATTCGAAAGAATGCTTATATAAGTAACCCATTCAGTTAACGAGGTTTTTAATTTTTGACACCTTTCAACCAAACACAAGCAATGAGAAACTACATTAATAGATATATACTCTATTACAAGGACAACAGAGATAGATTAATTGCATAAACAAGGCAACCGTCTCTTCCCCACTCTTAATTTATCTCCTTTATCGACCACTATAAAAGTCAAAAATAAAGTTTCCATTAGCAAGAATAAAATAAGGGATGGAAGTGAAATTCCAGCAGCTCAAAGAAAATGAAAAGATTCCTTAAAACCTGTTTCGGGTGGCCCAACAATTGACGGCCCAAGGGTTCAGGCCCAACTTTAGCCTCCTACCCACGTCAACCCTAACAGCTGTCAAGGACACCCCCCAAACCCCAACGCAACGACTCTCCCTAAGAGAAACACCAAAATGTTTCATCTTGGGACCTTGACCCTCAAAGGCGACCGCCTCAGACATCATAAAGGGAAACTGCCCCTTTATCCCACGCTGACACCGTCAGGCGCAGAGGGCGCAGTGCTGCTATCATAGCAGCGTCTGTCACGTCCAACGAATGTACTTATGGTTGTACATAGATGTCCCCCACGGAGGGTGAAGTATGTTGATATAGGGGGTGTCCATAGTGGCCTTGGTAGAGACCAAGCACTAGTGAAGCTTCCCATGTATGTGCTTCAAGGGGGAGTGTGTGTGAGGCTCTGCATAGAGGCAAAGGTCACGCCCAACGTTGCCACCCGTGACGAATCCCAAGAAGGGTTGACCCCCTCCTCACCAACCCACACCAGGTGCACATCACCTTCCCATATAAATAGCTCCTTGGGCACACCATGATCTTATCTCTTATGTATCGTTATTATGCCCATTTGTATTAGTCACACCATACACACACCAGGTCTTCATCTTTGTTAGCTTGCTCCATACTTGGAATAATACCTTCTAGCCTGGTTTATATCTTTGCTGGGAGTATCATCCATATAGTGACTGAAAGTAGAATTGGCCTTGAAGGCCGAAACATGCGTGAGGGAAAAACAAAATTTTTCGCAAGCGGAACACACATGCATATCAAGATACATACTTTAAGACGTATGTCATACCTTGTTCGTGAAAACTCAAGATGATCAAGGTAGGTCTGAAGGGTTCAGACCCTCTAACGTTGATCCACACCACCCGCGTCTAGATACAGGAATTCCTTCCAGTAAGACCGCCGGTTGATCACCACAATAAGGCTTGCTATGCGCTCAGTGTGTGATGCAGGAGGCTAGGTAAAAGTGTTTAGAAGAGTGAAGTGTTCTAAGAGAAAACCTCACAAGGGGCGCATAGATGAGTAGAGAAAGGCTTGGCTTTTTCACCAAAACCTAAGGAGGAACCAACTCCTCATTAAGTACACAAGAGGAGCCTTTTAAGTTCCAAAAACAAATCAGATTTTTCTCCCAAAAATCTGATCAAAAGTGGCGCCCTTGGGGAGAGAATAAGTGGAGTTGTTGCATTTCAAAAATTGCCAACAACATCCCAGAATATTCTCATGAGACTAAGTTCAAAACCTAGTCAGAAATCTGATCATGAATCATCATATAATCAGCTATATGGTGCGCCCCATATAGCCTAAAAGGTGACCAGATACATTTGAGTTAGTTGCATTTTAAACTTAAATCAACTCACTCAAATATTCTCCCAACAGAGCGTATCTTCTAGAGCTGATTTTGATGATCAAATCTAGCCAAAATCAGCACCCCATTATCCTTGGATTATGTCCAAAAGATCTCCTCCTGATATGTTCCAACAAGATCTCATCTTATCCTTTTGTTATGAAACAACTTTTCATAGCCAATTCAAATTCGAATTTCAAACATTTGAATTCAAACACTAAAATTTTAAATTCAAATTCAAATTCTAAATTGAAATTCAAAATTCAAAATTCAAAATTCAAAATTCAAAATTCAAAATTCAAAATTCAAAATTCAAAATTCGAATTTCAAAATTCAAATTTAAAATTCAAATTTCAAAATTCAAATTTCAAATTCAAAATTAAAAATTTAAACATTTGATAATTAATTTAACTAATTAAATTAATTAGTAATGTCTTGGACTATCCAAGCCCATTACTTTGATCCATGCGCCCTCCACCCTATCTGTGGAGTTCCAAACTGCTTCTTGGGCTAATAACAATTGTTAGGCCCAATACCTTTAATGCTAGAGCATCTAGACAATTAGGTGTTAGTGTGTGACCCATTAGGTCCAACATAGCCACTGACATAAATGGGCTTGGGCCCAATAAGCCCACAACCCATCTAATGACAACACAGAGCACTAGCAATGCTTTGTTGCCCTAGAACTAGAACTAGTTAGATTAATGACTTGATCATCCTATTACACATATTTGGTTGCCGTATATATTTCCTTTCGTCTCGGTTACCTTCCCATAAAACCTAGGGTAAGGAAGCGTATCAACCCTTGCCTTGCGATTTAGGGTAAGCTTTATTCGAAATAGAGAATCTTCAATTTACAGACTCTAAAGGCAGATCATCTCATGATCTCTTTTACTATGCATAGATTCCCGAGTCCCTGTAAATGTCATCCCGATTTCTCCGGTTTACAGATAACCTAATCTCTCACAGAGATTTGACGAATTCCTTCAGCTTATCACCCTAGCCCTGTGTTCTTTCAGGACAAGCCCAACAGTATACCTATGAGTCTCCATGTTTCAGGCAGACGAGGTGCACAATCAAAGCATGCCTTCTAGAACACAGTCTAGGTAATAACTTCTGGTCTTAGGAATGACATACCCAAATATAAAGAGACTACTCTAATGATACTCTCTGTGAGAGTTCCTCATAGAGTCTCTTTGTGGGTCTGTTCAGTGCGAGCTATACCCTTATAGGTCCACCCACGACTTTAGCTAAGACATCTCCATATATGTAGCTCATGAGGTCTTTACCTTGCATCCAAATACAAGTAGATAAGTCGTGTTAGTCTTACCCGAGATCACTGATCCCCATTCTCAGTGTCTCTAGACTAGGAACATAAAATTAGGAATAAACATGCAGTATCCTTGAATCCTCATGATCGTGATCTCATCACAGATACTCAAGAGATACCTATTTTATTCCAACGGGTTTATCCAGTTACTCATATAAATATTAATAGTAATATTTAGACAAAATATGAAACATAATAAATAGTGCTTTTATTTGCGACAATATAAAAGGTCTGCATATGTCCTAATCTAATCAAAAGATTGTCTCTAGGACATCCATATACTAACAAGGTCTTCATCTTTGTTAGCTTGCTCCATACTTGGAATAATACCTTCTAGCCTGGTTTATATCTTTGCTGGGAGTATCATCCATATAGTGACATCATCCCCAAAGGGAACATAGTGGACTTATAAATCCCAACGGTACAAAACCTAAATAATCAAGTTTCTCGGGCTCACAAACTCCAAAAAAGAGAGTCTTCAGGCTCATTAGCCACGACATCTTTTAGTTGTCAACGTTCCAAACCCTGGGCAATAAAAAGCTATTACACTAGAAGTAGGTTACGAGTGGCAATTTTCAACATTATCCAACAACAAGACACATATATGACACAAAAAGTTTTTGTTTGGCTCGTTCCGATTTCCAATTCATATTGTTTTCATGCGCGAAAAATTTGATATGAAAAAATTTGTGCCATATTGCGTGTCAATTTGCGAACACGATTTTGACCTACTTTAATCTTTTTTCAAATTATTCATATTGTGTTGTATTAATATACTATTGGTGAAAATTATATTCAGTAAATATTTATTCATATCATATCATGTCAACATGTATAATAAGCGAGACACCTTGAGGGTTATAATGAGGACCTTATAGTCATAAATGGAATGAGCATAAAATTATAAGAATTTTGATACCCATATTGAGGTATTATGCACAGATGAATTTTTATCTGTTAAATTTGACTGCTGACGTAATAACAGTTAGTAGAATAGCTCCAAGTTAAATATAGTTAGAGAGCTAATCTAATGATATAAACATCATGAATGAGGTTAGGATATGATCTGGTGAAGATTGATACCCATATTGGGGTATTTTTGAAAAGTCACTTCTGCCGGGTATTTTGTACTGATGTGGCAGCATCCGGTAGAATCCCGGAACAGGAAAAAGATAAGAAAATAGAAATAAAGACCAATATATGCCTAACAAG